ATTAATCCATTTAGGCAGCATTTGTAAGTGATTTTAGTAGTCAATGTGAAATTAATATAAATACTTGTCATGTATATTCAGCATGTCAACTTGCTGAATATTTCAGATGTGGAATGAATACTGAAAAATTTCAAACATCAAGACAGACTTAACCAAGAAAAAAACAAAATCTTTAGTTAAAATACAAGTACGACATCAAATAGAAATAGTGAGATTATTAAATCAAATTGACAAAGATAAAATTATTGAAAAAAAAATCTATTTTCATTTCTTCAATGTTAATCTGATTATTAAGGGTAAGGGAGTTCTCCTCAGAATATTCATTTTTTTCGGAAAAAGATCACAGTTGAGTTTTTATCATACGAAGATACAATGAAGTTTCCTCTCCCAGAATATTTATGATTTTTCGAAAAAAAAAAATGCCAAATTTTAGCAGACTTTCAGAAGAAATTTTGACCTTACTATCGTGTTTCCTAAGAAATTTTCAAGGTTTATTCGAAACTTTTTAGTTTGGGAAATATTGCCTTTTTGCTTATATCAGCATTGAATAAACATCCTTGTATACTCTAAGTACGACCGATGGTGCTGGCTTATGGCATCTGTTACGTGCTTTTAAAACCTTCATTTAAATATATTAATTATGAATAACCTATTTTAATGTTTTTATTTTTCTAGATTTGAATGGAAAAAAAAATCATGGCTAAACTTATTCATCATTTTTCTCAGAATAATAGTTATGAATCAAAAAATTGAAATAGCTTCTATTCGATTCGAGATTTAGCCAATATTTCTTTTTTTTGCTTTAACGATTTAAAAGAGAGCAATCTTTTGTCCGATCAGATTTTTTATAGATTACTGATTTGTTGAGAATAGTGAGATTCAGTGTCATGAAGTGACTTTTTTTTGCTTACTTTAACACCGTATGCTATAAAATGAATATAAAAAATGAATGGAAGTGAATTTCAAAATATTGTTCGAAAAAAAAACTGCACAAGGGTATTGGTTTTAATTTGAAATCATCCCGAGCTCTATATCTTTTATAGTGATAAAGTTATAAAGATTCTTGTTAAGACCATAAATGAACTATAAATAAGCCATAAGTTCGCTCTAGTTTGATATATCAAACTGAAATTTTAACTGCAAGTGTTTCTCACTAGAACTACTCATTTCGGAAAATTTCGTCTCGAATGGATCACCCTAAGTGGAAAATCTATTTTGAGATAGGCTTAAGAAAGATTTCACGACGTTGAAATAATAACTTCTCATATTGGTTTACTATATCCAATCGTTCTACGATTAAACTATTTCAAATCTTATCAATTTAATTAGTTTTCTCAGATTTTCATTTTTATATCGCTGAAAATTTTGAAAATACTCTTATATTATTCTGTAGCTCAATATCTGGTTAGACCACAGATGATAAAATTGTTACAACTTATTGTTTTACAAATATCCGTGGAGTATTTATTTACATCGAACTTTCCATTATCAGATGTGTATTAAAACCATCAATGAAAGATCTAAAAAACTGTATATTTAGATATTAATCGTTCAGAAGTTATAGGTATTCTAGTCGAAATTCAAAGTGATTTTTCTAGCAACTACTGAAAAAAAAAAATTTTTTTCTACGTTCTTCTTGATAAAAAAAAATTTTTCGACAGTTAGAAATTTGATTAGACAAAATCTAGACAAAATACTAAAATCTATTTCATATGATTCGATGCATCTTCATCTCTTCTTTTGAACCATGAAAATCAAAGCTATCTATCTTGTTTCAACCAAAAAATATTCAAAAACTACTCACTCCTCCTTTTTTCTTAAATAGGCATTTGTATAATCGTAACATATCATAGAAAAATAGCGCTTATTGAAATTTTATTATTATAATATTAGTTGAAGAATGATCAAATACTAAGGAAAAATAGAGCATTTTTTTTTTACTATCGCTGCATTGAAGAAGAAAGTTTTCTAAAACTTACTATAAGACATTAAAATATCCCTGACACTATTTTTGAACTGTCCTAAGTATAAAATATTTTTATTTATTTATTTATTAGTTTTCAACATTAAATCTTTTACGATCAGATCAATCATTATTAACTATTAATTAATAAACACTTCTCTCAAGTTTATTTAATTGTTATAAAGAATCTAATATTTTATCGTTCACTAAATATTGAATAGATACGCATAATGATTCACAATTCACTTATACGATTTATGAAGCACTTCTAGAAGAATTCTTAGTAGCTGTTTACGAAACAGCAAGAGCATATCTTTGTTACAATGATGATCTTTGTTATTTATCAGTTCCATAATACATCGTATTGCTACTGACAATGTTTGTTAGATGGTTGATGCATTTATTATGCAATATTGCCAATTATATGGTCTCAATTCTTTCTTCAAGGCTATGAATAGAAAATATGGAAAATGTAAAATAGATATTCATGGTTGGGCAAGGAAATTTATTGATCCAGATATTGTATTGATCAAACTGTCAATTTCATTGTTTGATTTCTCTGGAAATACTTGTTGTTATTATTCAAATATCTCTACAAACTTAACAAATCTAATTGATATTGTAAAGATTCAAAATAAATATGCAGAAATAACATGGAAATATCTTCTTTACAAATATAGTCACCATGACGCTGTGAAACGATTTCTTAATAGAATTCTTTGGTTTGTGTCTATGAATATTTTAGCGATTCATGCTCAAACTCTGACAGTATATGTTCATGATATTCATTCAATTATTGAACAAGTTGAATCGACGCTTATATTAGATGATGTTGAACAAATGATGGAGACAAATCAGTAAGAGTCATTTTTTTTCGATTGTTTAATATTAATGAAGTTACATTTGTTAGTCATAATTAAAATTTGTATTAAAATAAATAAATAAAAATATCTACTAAGAACTTTAAAAAGTAATATAAAAATATATATATTTGAAATAAAACTGTTCAGCTTATATCACTAATCATCATCCAAAAAATATTGATGAATCTCATTTGAATTAATTGTATTTGATGACTTAAAATCTAACATGATTGATCATTTTTGGAAAGAAAAACATTAGAAATAGTTAGGTTTTTTAATACTGCAAACATCGAACATATCAAAATATTTTTTTAACAGAAATAATCAGCTGCTATTTCGTTGAAATTGAAAGACGGGTACTAGAAACTTAAGAAAGTTCATAACTTGATAGGAGTTATTTTCAGAGTGAAAATATGTTGTTTAGCACTAAAATATCATTGCAACATAAGTTTAACGTTCATATCGAATAATCTGGTACTGTCGAAAGTATAATTTGAGTTTCTTCAAAACATCATATCTCAACTCTACTTTTGATTGCAATCCTACTACAATACGAAGTCACTTTCATACATTTCTTCTTGTTCGAAAAATTGTTCAAATTATTTCTTTCATGTGATAAGAGACATTGCGTAATGATGATTAAAAAACAAACAGTTTAATTTCAAGTTGTAATAAACGAAAGAAAATGACAAGAACAACAAAAACAGCCTTTTCTGATTGTAAAGAGTATTTCAGAAATTCTGAAACAATTTTACAATTCATTCTTTCTATATTGAACAAAAGTAAACTCTTTGATAGTTTTGGCAGATTATTGCATCTGATAAATACTAAACAACTGCAAAGTTCGAAGTCTATAGCTTTTACTATGAATGAGAATCTGTAACAACACTCTAATGTACTTTTTTTTCTACTTTTGCTATCATCTTGGTGATTATTTTTAAAACAATCAAATTTTTCGAAATAAAAAGACCCACATAGCAAGTTGTCAATTCTCGTTAATTGATGATGACCATCGTCATCAATCACTAATTTTAGTTATATTACTATATTATCAATCATCCGCTTATATAAAACAACATTAAATTTTATACATTTCTTTTTAATACTATTTTTCAATCGTTTAATATTATTGTATTCCGAGCGTCGTTAATTTTTCTTTGAATGCCTCTTGCATATTCCCTATTGATTTAACATCAGTTAGTTTTGCAGTGTAATTATTTGATTCAATTCGACTGATAAAAATAAGTTTGATCTCATAACAAGTCATAAACATCGTGTGTTTAAAACCTTAATCATATCGAAAAGTTAGATATCGTAAATTACCTAATTCGTTGACTTCTTGTCTATTACTATAGTTTGCATCAATTTTGCAAACTTGTTATTAGTTATTTTCATCCATTAACACATCAAAAAGAGAACATTACTTTGTTTTGAGATATATTTATCAAAAAGTCTCTGAGAATAATATTTGTTGTTCTAGTTTTATTTAGAATATTTATAAATTTAATGAATCAGAAAACTGAAATATAGACCTCAAACTTTGTAATTATTTAGTATTAAATAGAAGGAATAATCTGTCAAAGTTTCAAAGAGTTTGCTTTTGTTGAATACAAGATCGACGAATTGTAAAATTGTTTCAAAACTTCTGTAACGCTCTTTTTTAATGTGAAAATCTTCAAGATTATTATCCTATAAACAATTCGATATGATCTATAATCTGAGTGTATACAAAATTTGTTTTTGGTCTGAAAAACAGATTTTAATAGAAAACCAGCATATAAAGACCTAAGAGAATTTGTTTGAAGTCATATTCACAACTGGGATAGTTGATAGTCTACAATCTACTAGTTTTTGGTAAGAAAGCAATTGATCAGTTTGAAACGTCCCCTCTTCAATTATTGTTGGTACAGCATCAATCGTTTCCACATAAACAACAGTTGAAATTCATGAAATCTATTGTGAACTATTCAGTCAAAATTTTCTCGATCTCATCATGCTTGTACCGAAAGAGCATAACTTTTTGTGCACGTTGAAATAGTTTTCTATTTACATAAGGTCATAGCTCGAAATCTTTCTCGGGAGTCATTTTAAAAATGATGTATGCAGACTGATCTGAAAGAAATGTAAAAAATAAAACGTTGTGAAAGACCCAGAAGTCTGAAAATTTTCACAGAATGTTAAATATGTCTATACATGATAGTAGAATACTTGATCTTAATGTACAAATTTCACGAGAACTAGACGAAAAAAAAATTTATGCACCGCTCTATGTATATGACGAGAGATGTCGCTATAAAATAAATGATAGAATATGAAAAGAGAAAAAATGATTGGTGAGGAAATTTGATGCTTTGATTGATGAAAATGAGTCATCAATAAAATAACTCGTCCGTTGCAAATAAGCAAGCACATTCATAAAAGATCCCTATTGCGCACTTATTCGTGGATCAGTTGTGCTACATTCTTATCTTTTTTATGATTCATTTGTTTATATAGTAGTTTAAGATTCTACAGGATACCTTTGTCGAATTATGACATCCGTGATTGTACGTATATGAGTTTATTCTTTAATTAATTCTCGCTTTCTTTTTGTTTTTGTTTTGGTTTGTAGGATAAATATAAGCGAAAGAAAAAAGAAAATCAGGCTGCTAATAATGCTAATTCATCATCAACTGATGTTGGAGTTATTCGAATTGGCCATTATATTCTTAATGAAACATTAGGAACAGGAAGCTTTGGAAAAGTTAAAAGTATATTTGATTAATTTCGATTGATTGAAATTGTAAAGTAATGATCGATTTTCTTTTTCTTTTCTGTAGAGGCCTATCATCAATTAACTAGACATACAGTTGCAATAAAAATTGTTAATCGTACTAAAATAAAACAATTAGATGTTGTCGGAAAAATTCGAAGAGAAATTCAAAATTTAAGACTTTTTCGACATCCACATATAATTAAATTGTAATAATAAAATTTATATTTTCATTTGAATTTATTTAAATATTTATTAGATATCAAGTAATTAGCACTCCAACCGATATATTTATGGTTATGGAATACGTATCTGGTGGAGAATTATTTGATTATATTGTTAAAAAAGGAAAAGTATGCTTAAATAATATTGAAGAAAAAAAAAATCTTTTCCTATTTTGATGAAATTTAATATTAGTTAAGTGAAGCGGAAGCGCGACCATTCTTTCAGCAGATTATATCTGGTGTTGATTATTGTCATCGACATATGGTGGTATGTGTTTTTGTTTTTGTTTTTGTTTTATTTTTCTATTTTCATTTTCATTTTTTTTATTGTATTTTAGGTTCATCGGGATCTTAAGTATGTGTGTTATTTTGATTTCTTAATTAATTGAAATTCTTTAGACCTGAGAATCTTCTTCTTGATGATGCATCTCATGTAAAAATAGCAGATTTTGGTAGGTTAAATATTCTAATAGGTGACTTATAATAAATGATCCCACTTACCATTTTATATTCACTAATGATGTTTTATTAAAAAAAACACAATGTATCACAAGATACTGTGTGAAAAGCTCTAGAAAACAAATCTTATTTTAATTGTGCACATTTTGTTTTCAAAATAAGCAAAACTATATGCGACTGATTTTCGATATTTGCGAACATTATAATTTTTCTTATTTCATTAGTTAATGAATCATAGTTTTAACTTTATCTGATTGCATATTATTGATAATAGGATCTCGCATGTAATGATTCAGAACATTGAGATCAAGACTACTCTAGTGGACATATGTGTGATTTTGTCTATAAAATCTATGAAGTTTTCGTCACATGATGTCTGATGCGTAAAAGATGCTTGAAGAGTTTTTAGACAAGATGCTTTGTTCACTTTTGACCCATTAGAAAGAATTTCCGATGCGTAAAAAGTTAAGAATTAGAATGCTCTTTTCGAATATGGGCTTAGAAATGTTGTCCTAACTTTTGTTGAAGAATAGTGAAATGATCTTTAAAAAGATCAAAAAATTAGTTTAGACGGAAAATTTTTGTATTTTTGCTCAATTCTCATTTTTTGAAAAATACTTATTTCTGAAAAATCAATAATTGTTTTACGTTGAAAGAAGCTCTTAACAAAATACTCGTTGTCTCACTTGGGTAAAAGTTACATCTTAGTTCAATATCACATTTTGTAGAGAAATGTCCATTCTACAAAACGACCGACTTTGACAATTTTTCTCATGTTCGAAAAGAGACTTAAAGAGTAAACAAAATCGTGTTGACTCATTATTTTCAGATCCTTCACTACTTCCGAACGAAAATAGGCACAATATTTCTAAGGCCATACACAAAAAGAGCATTTTAACTCATAGCTTTTGGCTCGTCGGCGATATTTTCTTGTGGATCAGAAGTGAACAAACATCTTTTCTAAAAATTATTCGATCACCCTCTATGCGACGTGACGTTGTCTTTGTGACTGGTAAAACAGTCGTTGATGAGCTGTCTTACCTTCATATTGTGCTTGTAAAAAACAACTTCGATATATTTTTCATGTTATAATGTTTTATCAGATTTATATATCATGAAAGATGAAAGAGCACTTGAAGATGCACTTAAATATATCAGAATTTCGTTTTCGATATTAAGTTCTTTGGTTTATATTTCGTTGTTTACTTGCTTCTTATCATCAACTCACCGTATAGACATGTTAGGTGTGTATGAGTATTTTGTGGAACTCACGTATATTTTCGAAGAAAATAGTGAGTGTAAGTTTTAAGTTCGAGGTTTTGCGGCTCCCCCCCCCCCCTCT